TGTGGAATTTGTATCCCCTCATTTTCCAGTACCTTTTACAGCACTCCAGGGAGTTAGCAAAGTAACCTCCTTGGAGGTAGAAAAGGCAGAAACGCTATTTCAGAAACATGACATCACTTCCCAAAGTATGTTTAATGGAGCTAAAAATAGAAGCTAAGCAGTTGTGTTTTCAGTAGCACAAAGAGAAGGGAAGTTTTGTCACTTGCCTGACTTTACTGGAGCAGTCCTGGGGAGACTCCAGGTTTCCCAAGAAGGGGCAGCTGGGCTGCAGGCAAGGATGGTGGAGCTGGGCATCCAGGTATCCTGTCGGGAGAGCTTCCAGCAGATGGGCCTCAGCAAGCAGCAGGCATCCTCAGCAGGGCCCTCCAGTTGCATCTGGTGGAGGGGGCACACAAAACAAAGAAGGAATGGCCATGATTGACAGCTGGGGGAGTCTCCTGATAGGCCTGAGCCCAGGGGTGGGAGGTGAGGCAAGTCAGCTAGGAGACACAATGAAGGCGAAAAACAGAATTTGAATTTTCTGGTAATGTTTTTGTCTTACCTTACTTTATTCTTTTATTTTAAGTGTTTGCTTGAAAGGTAGAGAAAGGGACCCCCAAATGAAAACACCATGCCGAAAAAGGGAAAACCTGCAGGGCTCTCGCTTCCAGATTCCAAACCTATAACACAGCTTCAGTAATCAGAATAATGTGGTTCTGGCCTAAAGGAGGATATAGGGGTCAGTGGAACGAGAGAGAACCCCCCCCCCCCCGCATCAACTTTCACATACATGGTCCGGTGATCTTTGACCACGTGATAAGACAATCCACTGTGAGAAAGGGCAGTCTTTTCAACGAAGGCTGCATGCACTGGGAAAGCTGCTTATTTACATGTGAAAGGACCCGACACGGTCTATAAGCATTAATTCCAAATGGTCAAAGATTTCAAAGGAGCTCTAAAACAAGGAAGCTCTTAGAAGACAGAGGATGGAAGCTTTGCCACACTGCATCTAGCAATGACTTCTTGGACCTAAAGATAGAAACACGGACGACTAAAGACAAAGGAGACAGATTAAACTGCACCGAGGTTAGGAAAAAAAATGTGCAAAGGGCACTTACAGCAGAGTAAAAAGGCCACCGACTGAGGAAAAAATCTTTGCAGATAGCTGAATAGGGGTTAGCATCCAGGGAATATGGAGAACTCCTGAAGCTCAGCAGCATCAACAACCACCACAAAGCAACAACAGCAACAAGACAGCACTATTCCTAATTTGGGGAGGATGGCAGGTGCTTGATCCCATGGCTGAGTTGTCTGTGCCCTGACAAATCGCCCAGATGTGGTTCCCAGCTGCGCTTCCACTTGCACCCTCCTGCTTCCTGGGAGGTGATGCTACGGGCTCCCACAGTCACCTGTCACTCACCTGGGAGGCCCGCACATCAACGCTTGCTTCCGCTCTGGCTCCCAGGTTGCTGCAGAAATAGAGGCAGATGAGAGTTCTCTCTTCTCTGTCTCTCAAATCCATCAATACATAATACAGGACCAGGAGCTTGCCTGTTTCCCCAGGAAGTGCATGAGGAGAGGCTCAGCATGACTGGGCTTTGGGAAGACGCACATTAAAACCAGCGAGGCACCACAGCACGCTCATTAGGAGAGGCTCTGTTAGAAAACAGAGTGTGGTACGTGTTGGCAAGGATGTACCACTGGAATCCAAGTGCATCATGGGTAGAGATGTAAAGAGCTTAGGAACTGTAGAAAAGATCATGGTGTTTTCTCAAAAAAGTGAACATCAAGTCATCGTGTGTGTGTGTGGCCTCTCCAGCCTCAACATCTTCTAGCCCTCACGTGCACTTGACACTGTCCTTCTCCTGTGGAGGCAACCCTGGGATCTGCTTAGCTTTCTGGCTGGGTTTTGACATCGAGATCTTGCAGGTGTCATTTCCTCTCCAGGAAACATCTTGGCTGGCTGGTGGATCTTACTCTTCCTTTTGGACTTCCTACTCTTCCACCATAACCTTACCTTTCCGTTTTCCCCTTCCAGCCTTGTGCCGAGTCATTAAGTCCTGTCAATGAATTACCCATGTCTTGGCATAGCTGATGGGCTCCCTCTGACGAGAGGCATGACATTGCATCCAACCCACGCAGAGAATGGAGAAGGATCATTTGTGGGAGGTCACGTTAAACCTGGTGATGTGTTTCTCCACTGAAGTGCTCCCCACGCATATGGCTGAGAATGGGCCCCAGCTAAGGGAATTTGGCAGCAGCTATGTGATTAATAGTAGTAGTGTTATTTGCATATTTAATTTCCTGGTTCACTCCCCAATGGTTGCAGCAGCCAGAGCTGAGTTTATCTAAAGCCAGAAGCCTCCTTTAGGTCTCCCACATGACTGCAGGGTTCCAAGATCCTGGGCCATCCTCCACTGCTTTCCCAGGCCACAAGCAGGAAACTGGATGGGAAGCGGAGCAGCGGGACATGAGTTGGTACCCATATGGTCTGCTGGAGCTTGCAGGTAGAGAATAAGCCACTGTATCATCCCAGTAAGGAGTCTTTATGCTGAGCCAAACTGGCATTTCAGTTATTATGCCAGATAGAATTTTCAGGCACTAAAAATGAGTTTATTTCAAGGAGCACAAGACATTTTGCCATCCTGGAATGATGGGTAATGATGGTCCCTGCTGGATTCTTTCTCCAGGGATAAGAAAAGAAAGAAACCCCCAAGGCAAGTTAAAAAAAGGAGGCCAGGAAAAGGAAAGCCTGACTGTACGCTGCCACTGTTGGAGAATAGCCAGTACACAAATAGGCAAAGCACGGGGCCCTGGTTTCCTGTGAGTCGCTGCTAGGGTCTCACTCCCAAAGAAGCGGTTCCTATGCTGGCTTGCTGCTGGGCTATGCCCTGGTGGAGTGAGCTGGACTTCAAGCTGAGAGTGTCTCAGATACATTAGCTTTGCAGGTGCCCTTTTTTCTTATAAATAGTGTCAAAAGTACATGACAACCGTGATTTTTCCTTAGGATAGTCCGCTCTTGAAAAATTAAAACACCTGTGAAAATATCAATAGGTTAAGTAGCCTAAGCAATTTCTTCTTATTGGGAAGTAATACAGAAATTAGAACTAAAGTGTGTGCACTGATGAAAGATTGGAAAATACAATGCATCCGCAGTCGTTACAAGCATATTGCAAATGGTTACATTCATGGCAATGTACAAAGATTGTGCTCGTATCAGGGTGTGTGTGCTATGAATAATGTTCCAAGTTCTTTCTCCTTCTCTCTGGATTTTCATCTTCCACGTGAGTCTCCTGGAACGAGCATGAAGGGGAGTCGGTAGAAGCAGGTTTGTTGTGGGATGTTGATTGCTGTGAGCACCCTGGCAGGTGTGGGTGCCCGGCCTCGGCTGCTGAGCACCGAGCTGGGACCACAGTAAGGTCATCCGAGAGCTGCTCCCGCACGCACGTCCTTCCCTTTGCTGGTGCTGCGGTGCCTTCGCCTCCAGTCTTGGCTCATCAGAGAGGATTAGCGTTCTCTGGTCTTTACGTAGAATGACCATGTTCTGTAATTCAGCAAACATGCTTATTACCTCTTCCAAGGAAGAGGCCCCGGGGATGCCGAAGCAGTGAGGGCATTCTGTGTCTCCTTCTGAGAATGAGTTCGGTGAGTCAGTGTGAGAATTCCGTTCTGTTCAAGGTGTGGAAAATAGGCACACACATCTACGGATGTGTTCATATCGAGGGGATCTCCCATCCTCTGGTTCACTCTCCAGTGCAGTTAGGGAGGGGCCAGCGGCAGCCTGTGACTCTCCTGTGGCTGTGGCCCCAACGCCCTTGACCCTCCACCTGATGGCTCCCAGGCTGTATGGCGAGCAGACGTGCCCCGATTCACAGCAGCCGTTTGGGTGTGGGATGCTGGTGTCTCGAACAGCACAGTGCGACCCTTCAACTGACTTAAGAGATGTTGTCTTTTGTTTTTGCCCGATGTCTCTGAATTTCAAATCGAAAGGAGCCAATGGAAAGGGTTGGTATGCCCGCTAAGGCTTATCAGGCACCTGGCACTTTCAAATGGCAACTCTGGTTAATAGTGGGGGGCGACTCCTGATTCTGCCTTCAAGGAGCACCCCAGCAGATGGGAGATCTCGAGGCCACAAATAATGCGACTACCACATTGCCCCAAAGCACCACATCTTTAACATGTCTCAGGCTGCGTTTCTGTGGCTTCCCCACTCTCAGGTAGCTTTCTTTGCTGGCTGACTTGCTTTGCTCCATCCTTGCTCCAGCCAACTGAATCACTTATCCTACTTCTTAAAAGACTCTATGGAGAATTCATTGTCCTTTGTAACCGCCGAGTTCCCCTCATGGCTAACAGATCATGACCAAGTTTCCTCCAGACAAGCAAACCTCATTGGAGTGGAGGAGACGCTGGCCTTGGAAACGTCTCACTCTGCATTTCAAGGCGCTGTGGAACACGCTCAGGGAGCCTGCATCTCTTGTCTAGACCTACCTTCCGCAAATGCTACTGCCTGGCGTCTGAGTCTGGGCAGAGGCAGCACTGCTGCAGGCTGCAAGCTGGACTGGGCGGGGCTGGGGGCGGGGCCGGGCTGGGCGGGGCCAGGCGGGAGCCAGGGCGGGGTTGGCGCGCAACAGAAGGCAGCGTTGGGCGGGGCTAGCGGGGGCGTGGCCGCAGGCGGGGCGTGGCCGCAGGCGGGGCGGGACTGGCCCCTGGCCCTTGCTCTGGCAGCAGCGTTGGGCGGGGCTAGCGGGAGGGGCGTGGCCGCTGGCGGGGCGGGGCCGCACCTCCGCTAACGGTCCTGAGGGACGAACGGGCGCGTGCCCGCGGCGCCGCCTGCAGGAGCCCGGGCCGGCCGGGCGCGCGCCGCCGCCTCCCTCGTTCCGCTCCTCCTCCTCCTCCTCCTCAGCCGCGGCTTCCTCTTGCATTTCCCCCGGTGCTCGGACGCTTCTCCCCGCCACGGCGGCTGGGAGCCGGGCCGCAGGGGCCCCACCGGCCTGCGCCATGAGGCTCCGGCCCGGCGGGTCCACGCGGGGACTGTGGCTGCCGGGCCTGCGGCGGTGACCTGGGGGCGGCCGCGGTGATGCCGGCGATGGGGGACAGGTAACGGCGGGGCGGAGGCCGCGTCCCCGGGGAGCGGCCGGCCCGCGCGGGGAGCCCCCATGGCCTGAGGGTCCCTGTTGCTTTGGTGCAGGTGCGTGCGGGTGACCGTCCTCCCCGGCTGCGTGGGCTGCAGGACCGTGACGGTGCCGGCGTCCGGGACGGCGCGCGACCTCAAGGAGCGCATCTTCGCCGAGACGGGCTTCCCGGTGTCGGAGCAGCGGCTGTGGCGGGGCGACCGGGAGGTAGGCCGGGGGCGGCTGGGGGGCCGGGCGGGGCCGGGTCGGAGTGTCCACGCCGGAGGGGCTGGGTCCGGAGTGTGCATGCCGGAGTGTCCTCGCCGGAGTGTGCATGCCGGAGTGTCCTGGCCCGAGTGTCCAGGCTGGAGGGGCTGGGTCCGGAGTGTGCATGCCGGAGTGTCCTCGCCCGAGTGTCCATGCCGGAGGGGCCGGTCCAGAGCGACCATGCCGGAGTGTCCACGCCTCTGGCTTGCACCGCCCCAACACATGGCAGAGGCTTCACTTCCTGAAATGCTGGCCATCCCTTCAAGTGAGGTGATTCAATTATTACTCATGTATGGTTTTGTTTTTTTCTTCTTTCTGTTACAATTGGAACTGAAGTACTGTTGGGTATCTTCAACTATTTATGTCCGGGAAGTTTTTCTCCACTGCTGAGTCACACAAGTTTGGGGCCTGGAAGGGTCTGCACACACAATTTCATACACAGCCTCTTATGTTGAGGAATGAAGTCATGTTAAGATGTTTGCAGTGCTACTGAGTGGATGGCTCCAAAGTTTGGAGAACGGGGCTATTTCCTTGTCGTGGGTAACCTTTTTGTGTCCAAATTCTCCAGTTGCCTTAGAGGAAGAGTTTCATTGAAGGTGTTTGCTGATATACGTTCCCTTACTTGGGGAAGTAGCTGCACGGTTTTAGGTTGACCAGATGTGGGAAAGGTGTCAGAGTGGTGCAGGGTGTCATTTCCATAAGGCGGTATAAATACGGGCTGAAGACCTGATGCCTCTGATTTTGAGTCCTTCCATGTGGTCTTGACCTCCATATCCCTGGGTCAACTCTCTCTCTTTTGCCCAGGCAGACACAGGTCCCTGGTTAGTCTGTTTTTAGGTTTCTACCGGCTAAATCTATTCTCCTGGTCAGCTCCCTGGGGAATATATTGTCCACAGAGGTAGGGGCTTGAGGACTTTGGACAGAGTTGACAAGGAGGGAAGTCCATTATTTCTTCTCTTCCATGCCTGTCCTGTGTCCTCACGCCCTCCTGGCTTTCTGTCCACCTCTTTGGCTGTTCTCTGGTTCTTCTTTGTCACTTTGTCCCTTTAGGTGTGATCGTACCCAGCAGGTCAGCTGTGACTCTGGCTTGCCATTCGCAGTGTGTCTGCAGGTGTCTGTCTGTAGGAAGCCTACATGCAGGGCAGTGGGTGTGGCAGTGATGGCAGGGTTTCCGGTTGGGTGGGCAGGTGGGAGGGGACCTGGGAGGCCACTGTCCTGATGTGGTTTATAGTGTGAGTCGTAGGCCATGGCTGGGAAGGGCAGGCTGAAAGGAAAGGTGGCAGGATATTGTGTAAAAAGCAGGTACCAAGTGAGTGTGGGCAGGGGGAAAGTGGAGGTCGAAGAAGCCGGACGCCCCAATGAGATGTGATGAAGCCTGGAGTAACCCAGGGGGCTGCAAATTTGGTTGGCAGAGACCAGCAGGTGCACAAGAGAGTTAACATGTGGGCAAGTGTAGTGATTGGCTGGCTTTCTGTGTGTGGCTCGCTGACGGTGACACAAAAGAGGCGTCCGGGAGAATGCATGAAGGCGGAGGGGATGACCTAGATCCTGCCTCTGCCCTGCCCAGTCGCAGCAAGCCGGCTACAGTGGATCACGGGTTGGGGCCTGCTTACGCTGTTGCTGACAGGCATGGCTGAAGTCTGCTTCTGACCACTGCTGAGATGCTGCTGGGTGGCGATCAGCTCAACAGGGAGCTGGAAGGCTGGGACTAAGGCTGGAGGGAGCGGGTTAGGGATGGAGATGGGGTTTTGGGGAACGGACCGACGTGTGGTACTTTCCCCTTCTGTATGGTGGTGAACTGTATTGGAATGGGATGACACCAGCTTGTCTCCTTTGATGCTCGAGAGAGCTGCAAGGGTCACATAGCATGAGTCCACTCTGTGGACGTGAGTGGCCAAGATTTGGAGAGGTGGAGTATTAGGTCAGAATTTGATGAAGGTCTTTGATATTCAAAATCTGTGGGCTTTTTACTATTTTATGCCATATTGAATCTGAAGCACGTTGATTGCGGATAAACACAAGATAAATACACGTTCTTTAGAGTAAAGAAGGAGAGCTCTCTCCATCATTAAAATAAACTGGAAAATTCAAGGACACAGCTTGGGCATCAGACGAGTAGTGGGCAAGGTTCCCTCCTGGTTGGGAGAGGGTGAGCTTGTGGTCACCACTAGGGCTCCCTGCGTGTAGGCGCATCTGTGGGGGAGGTGGCTTTCTCTTTTTCTTTTGCAGGTGCGCAGAGCCTTGATCTGAATGATTGGTGAGAGTCTGTCAGGGAGCCGGAAGCTGCTAACAGCTCCTGCTCATCTGTTGCTTTTGGTTGCTGGGGACTGAGCCACTGAGTAGGTCACCCACCATCCTCTTTCTCTTTACTTTTGCAAGTCCTGGAAATGGTTTACATGAGTACCCTACTTGAAGCTATGGTTTGTGCTACTTCTGTTGTGGGGTGCAAGTGAGATCACACCAGACAAGTCTAAGGTTTATTAAGGAGTCTCTATTAACCAAGCTTGGTGATAACAGGGCCCACTATAAATAGCAAATCACAAATCCATATAGCAGTCCAGTCCATCGAAACCCCAAGAGGAACAAATGGTTTAATCCGTTGAGCTGAAGACCTATGTCCCAGCTTCCCCAACAATATAAGTTATCCCAGGAGACATGCAATGAATACCCTGGACGCTCCCAAAGCTGCAGACATTCACCTTTCCCTGGCTTCTCTGCCCACATTCCACTACTGCTTGGCCTCCCCTCTCCTGGGACTCTGGATAGTGCATACATTAGAAGCCAGACAGCAAGCAGGTACTGGGGAGGCCAAGAGTCAGAGTGCTAGAGTGAAGGAGGCGCATAAGCAAGAGGCACTTAACCAAGTTAAGGCCCCTCCTTACCTCGGGCCTTTATGGGGGCCTGCGAAGGGAGTGGTTACACAACAGTGCAATGTCGCCCCATCTCAGGTTCCAAGTGGTGATAGGTGAGAGTCATAGGTGGCCAGGAGGGAACACCCGGGTGGTGGGGGAGTGATTTCTAAGCTCCTGACCCTGAACTAGCTGCCCACCTCACTATTTCCTGATCCCTTTTCTTCACTACTAATTTGCACCTCCAACTAAGAAGCTTGAAGAGTCTCCTAACTTGTCTTTTGATTGGTCACCAGTGCCCTTTTCCCCCTTGCTGGCTCCCAGCTGTTGACTCTGAAGCATCTGCCAGCATGTTTGACAGCTGAGCAAAGGAAGATGTGATGGGAGACCCAGGCTGCAGCTAACCTTGCTCTTTTTGCTAATGAGGATGACTGTCTCAGATTTACTAGGGAGACTGAGGTTGTGTAGGCTGAGATTCAGCACTTCAAATTCAAATTTCTAAATACGAGAGATGGACCGCCACAGGCACTTTTAAGACTTCGTGGGGCCCGTTGCACGTGGGGATGAATAAGGCCAGTGTTTTGTTGAATGGGCTGGTATTGGAGTAATTTGGGTTCCAGGCATGATGCACTTAAATAGCAGAACGGTGGACTTGAGACTGTTACTGAAGGACTATACTATTGTAATACTATGTGGGAAAACAGTAGGGGCGGGGTGGGAGGAGAAACCCCTGAGCCTATAGAGCTGTATCATGGAAAACAAAAGTTAAAGAAAGAGAGAAAAAGAGAAGCCCAAGCCAAAGCCCCAAGGGTTGATCTCCAGGCGAGGCAGCAGATCCTGTACAGGGCATCGGCACTGCCTGGTGGCCCTTGCGGATGGTCCCCTCCCTGGGGAAGGGCTGAGGAGCTCGGTGCACTCACACAGTGATTGTCAGGATGGTGTCATCCAGCCAGAGGACTGGCATGCCACCAGGCTTGGGTTGACCTTGGGTCAGCTTTCCCCCGAAGTGTATGCCTGTCTATGTTTCTTTACCCTTTTGCTTTTATTATTATGTTTGCTTTTTTGGTGGTTTTAACAGTTTTATATGTATTTCAGTATACGTTTGTGTACATACGTACATGAGTATGTATAGCTTAAATATGTAAGGATATATTATTTACATTTAGTTGTTCATAACCTCTTTAAAGAATATGGTATGTGGATCAAGCTAATTTTGCTATATACTTTCTATATTTATATCTGTATGTTGTAACATGCATCTGTCTTATATTTGACCCCGTACTGCATTATTAACATCCTTCCAAATTTATGTGTAGTTTATTTCTTTTTCTTTGCTGTGTCACCAAAGTTGGATTATTTCTAAATTTTTGTTAGCAGTAGTACTATTATAAATGTGCTTTTGTTTGTGTTTGCTGAAGCAGGGCGTGAACTGGATTTTACAGGATGGTCATAGCGAGGTACATGAAAGTGGTGTGCAAACAGGGAACTGTAGCAGCATGCATGGCCTTGTGCTGTCAGAAAATAGAATGAGGGTGACGCAGGAGAGGAGGCCAGATGTGAGAACCGAGAGATGCAGGGAGTGAACAGCTGCGAATGGAGACGGGCAAGTTGAACTTGAGAGACACTCTCGGATGGGCGTGTTGGGACCTCGGAATCACCTGGGACGTGTAGGAGACGAGAGAGACAGAGAGAGAGAGTTTTGCCAAGCTTGCCAGCTGAAGTGACACTGTCAATGGATGGGAACACTCTTAATTGGGATAAATAGTAAGATGAGAACTGTATTTTTGAAGGAAAGCTGCTAAATTCACTTTCTGCCAAGTTGAACTTCAGAAACTGTGGGGGTATCGGTGTGAGATGTGTGATAGAACACTGGAAATGCTGCATTTTAAGATGACACGTGTCCTCTCGCCTTGTGAATTGGAAGGGGTCCTCTGGGTGACCTTTGGGTAATGCTGACTGTCCTTAGACTGTGAGAGATGGCTGTAAAATCCAGGAGATGCTGAGCAGCTGTAGAGCAGGTCACTGTCCTCTAAGATGACGTCCTCCAGCCAGAGACCCAGGACACTGCCACCAGGTCACATATACCTGCATGTTGTCTTCCCGGGGTGTGCCTGTCTCTTTGTTTAGCCCTTTGCATTCACTGTTGAGAAGACGTGGGCCTGGACCTCAGCAGGAAGGCTGATCTGACTGTGGGTGCACGCTTTGTGCCACTCTGTGGATCACAGTAGTGCCTATTGTATCCTGCCTGATGCCAAGGAAAGTGGATTTCAGGGTATTTTTCTGGATCTCAGTTCCAGAAAGTTGTGTAACATGCCCACATCTGGGCTCGAAGCCTCGTTTGTCCCTTCCATATCTCAGCAGTTTTGGTATCAACTTGTGTAACCATGTTTTCCAAGATGTGTTTCTAGAAACGTTATCCTCCTTCTAGGAACACTTGGATACTGCTTGAAAATAAGTGAGAACATAGCTTATTGCTAAAACTTGGGAAATACACCTCGTCTGATCTTTTCTGAGAAAGTTCTCATTGGTGTGAATATGTTCACTGCCCCAGAAAGCCAACAAATTCAATTAATTATAAACAAATTATTTTCCTTTTTTAATCCTCCTGGACTTCAGTGCTTTGGCAACGTTGATCAAAAGAGTAGTTCTTGGACTCGGTGCGGTGGCTTAGTGGCTGAAGTCCTCACAGGTTCTTTGTGTGTGTGTGTGTGTTTGTATTAAGGAGTCATTATTAACCAAGCTTGGTTATAGCAGAGCCTACTAGAAATTAGCAAATGACAAGTACATATGGCAATTCAGTCTGAATAAAAAAAAGAATGGCTATTAGCCTGGTCGTTATCCTGAAATCCATCCATTAAACTGAAGTCCTATGTCCCAGCTGTATAAGTTATAAGCGACATACAGTGAATAACCTGGGCACACTTAGAAAGCTGCAAACATTCACCTTTTCCAGGCTTCTCTGTCCACAATTCTACTACTGCTAGGCCTCCCCTCTCCTGGAACAAAGCATCTTACCATTAACATCCTCACTGCCTCGCCCAAGCAGTGATCATAAGGTGAGGAATACAGATATATATGCCATGTCAGGGGCTGCCTGTTGGAGTGTGTTGGCAGGAAGCCAGACAGTAAGCAGGCACTTGGGAAGCCAAGAGTGAGAATGCCAGAAGGATAGAAGCAGGGTACCAAGAATGGTGCCGGTTCTAATCCCAGCAGCCCTGCTTCCCCTCCAGCTCCCTGCTTGTGCCCTGGGATGGCAGTGGAGTATGGCCCAAAGTCTTGGGACCCTGCACCTGCGGGGGAGACCTGGAAGAGGCTCCTGGCTCCTTGCTCCTGGCTCCTGGCTCTGGATTGGCTCAGCTCCAACCAGTGCGGCCTCTTGAGGAGTGACTCATCCGATGGAAGATCTTCCTCTCTGTTTCTTCTTCTCTCTGTACATCTGACTTTCCAGTAAAAATAAAATAAATCTTTGAAAAAAAATAGTTCTCTTTATGGTAAGGATTCTGATTAATGCCTTAACTACCTAAATGATAATGCAGCGGAATGATCTGTAGTCCTATCTGTGTGTCATTATTTAAGGGAAGGCATCCTGGAATCTTTGAAATCTAAGTCTTTTATACAGATTTGAGTTTTCAGGTGAAGTCTCCGTTCTCTGGATTACTCACCTCTGCGGAGCGGATTATTTCCTCATAAAAACATCCGAGCCTTTCACTCTAATTGAAAATAAAAATTAAGGTCAAGTTTTAAATGTAGTATTAGAGGAGATGTTGCGTCTCATGCTTTCTTTTCTTTTTTTTCAGTTGTCTGACTGCGTTAAGATTGGAGATCTGACTTCCGAAAACTGTCATCTTTTTGTTAATCTTCAGTCAAAAGGCTTGAAAGGCGGAGGTAAAAAGACCGACCAATTTTACCAGGAGTATGTGCCGTGCTTAGCTGGGTATGGTCATGTCAGATAACGATGGGGAGCAGGAAGGTTCCCAGGGGCATCAGCCACACCCAGTCACTGGGAGCTGGGGCCCTGCCTCTCGTTGGCATCACTCTGGCGCACAGCTACATAGCTGCCAAGGGCGTGGATCTTTGTTGCTCTTCCGCAAAAGGAAAAAATAAATAAATAAAACAGAAGGGGTGGGAGAAGACTTCGGGGTGCTGAAGGAGCTAATGGCATCGGTGCTGGGTGTGTGCTCCTCAACAGGTGTATCCAGATGTGTGCGTGTTTGCAGCCTCCGTATGAGACTCGTACCTCATAGGAGTGGTTTTAGACACGATGCTGTGTTAACAGTGAAGGGAAGCATGTGATGCTTGGGTTTAATGAAGAATGAGCCCAGAGGAGAATGGGCCAGGGCTAGTTGGGACACAAGAGAGGAGGGGGAAGGAGGCGCTGAGGAGCAGCGTTGTTTGAACATGGACTTGATGACGGACAGTTGTGTCCAAATCATACGAATACATGCATGTTGGCTCGAATATCCTTCAGCTTAAAATCAGAAATGCTCTAGAGTCAGAGTCTTTATGCTGTGATGCCACAAGCAGCAACTTCCACTCACGTGACAGGCCTCGGTCACAACGCAGTCGCACAAAATGTGCCGTGTGAAGTTGAGACTGTGTGTCTGGGGTGTGTGTGAAACCTAATGAATTCGTGTCTGGACAGGGACCCCCTCCCCAGAATCCCTCATTTATATATATGCAAATATTTCCAAATCCCAAAATACTCAGAATCTGAAACACTTGTGATCCCGCACACTGAAAAGGAGCGCTCAGTTGGAGTGATGGGTTTGGATCTTCCAAGGACGGCTTGCCTGGAACATTTATGTAGACTTTTATCTGTGTGATTGAGCCATGACTGCCCTTTGCCCCTCTCTCCCTCTGTCTTTCTGGGACTTCTTGAAGGGGTCCTGGGCAGTCAGTGTCAGAAGGGCTGGTGTAGTGGGGGCTCCAGCTTAATTCAGACAGACAGTGGCTGCTGAATTTCCCAAGCATCAGAGCGCCGGCCGACGTTGAGGGTGTTCGGCATGTGGTGTCTCCGGTCTGACTCAGCAGCCACGCACCCACAAGGTAACTGACAAAACAGCACCAGTTTTTCATTGTTTTGGGAAAATCGCAGCACTCGCTCCTGCCCTTCCCCCATGCTCTTAATTTTTGAATGAATAACCTTTTGTGATAGTTTTTGTAGTTTTGAATGTTCTCAGAAACACAATTTTTAGTTCAGTTAAAAATCTCAACGCTTGGTACAGTGGAGTCTGCTATACATGCTACTGAACTGCTGATGTAGCTCTCTGTACCAGGGCGCTGCAGTGAGGGGTCTGATACCATAGCTTGTAACAGTCACACTTTGTCTTAGAACCAACATACTCATTGGTGATAAGTCAGTATGATTTTTTTCATAAATCATTTAAAAATATGTCCTGTATTTTAGGTCGCTTTGGTCAAACAACCCCACCACTGGTTGATTTTCTCAGGGACATTTTAAGAAGATACCCAGAAGGAGGCCAGATTCTTAAGGTAACACACACGGGTACAGCTCCTGTGTGCTTTTCCTTATCGGTGCTTGGCATAGTTACTGAGAGATCCTGGAGGTGTTTGCATTACTAAAGTGTTGTCAGGCCCGGAGTGGTTGTGTTTGCTTTCCTCCATGACTGCAGTCAGTACAAGTGCAACTCCCAGGACCAGGAGACACACCAGGTAGTCACTGACTGATGGGTTAGTGCCGTGTCGCTGCGGCAAGCTCTCCCCCAGAGCCTGTGCAGGGTCACGCCGAGCCAGCAGGCAGGGCACATGGAGTCTGCAGTGAGTGGCCACCGACAGGGGCTCCCTTGAGCCCTGGATTTAGAGGTTTATTTTTCTGGGAGGGCTTATCTAATAAGATAATTATTTTAGTTATTTATTTCTGTTTATAGAATATTTGAATGTACTCACTTACAAACCAAAACGAATTCGAACAATCATTAAAGAAAACAGTAATGGACATTGTGTTTTGTGTTTGAGCTTGATAAGAAATCTTAGTTTACTATAAGAGCTCAGCTGTATATTTTCCTTCTCATGAACTGCGTTTATTCCCGTCAGTCTCCTTACCCTCATTGTATGTTCTGGCTTGGGCGGAATCTCTGTTGCATTTATGAGTACCTGGCGGGGTTAGCTAGGCACCAACTACTGAGTAAGTTAGGGTCTTGGCGCGGTGGCAGTCCATCCAGAAGAGGCACCAGGGTTTATGTAGAAGGTTAATTTCAACATTGTTATGTTGATGTATTGGGCAAATGAGAAGCAAGGGTGTGGTTACAGGCTGTTGTGAGTATAGAGAGGAGTGAATGCAGTGGATTGGAAATGAAGACCTGGCTGGTCTTACCAGGAGAGACATTGTCTGTCCCGGAGAATAAGGCAGGAGGCAGGATGCGGCATGGTCTGCTAGGTGGCTAGTGTGTGCTCCTCCGCTGCTTCCGTCATGTGTGTGATTATCTGGTCAGAATAATGTTTGTTCCTCGGACAGTTAATAGGAATTTCCTCTATTGCCTAGACCTTGGTCACCATCTTTCATTTACTGAGACAGATCTAGAATGACCCGAGAACCAGTGATGAGTTCATTGTTGCTGATTCTTAGTGTGTTCATGATCCTCGGAGGATTACGGCGAGAGGGGGAAGAGCTTCCTGTCTTTGCTCTGTTTTGTTTGTTTCAGGTGTGGTGGATGGTTGGAGCCTGAGGTTTCCTGTTACTTTTTTGCCAGCTGTACTAGCTAAAATACATGTAAATCCCAAATAGATGTCTGAAGAGAAAGTAGGTTCTACCCCTAACTGCTATTGATTTTGAAAGTTAATATTGTGCTTTTCTACTTATTTAACTCTCTGCTTTATATTCCCATAATGGTCAAATGTAAATAAAGTGGGTGATTTGGGGTGCTCTGTGAGACTGAATAAGGTAGAAAATGGGCAGTTACATAGATTGGAGCCCTTAATAGCTTGTAAGAAGGCGTGTTTGGGATTACACAGCTGGTGAGCGATGCCCTAATCCTTTAGAATGCACTGGATGAATCGAAGGCCTGACCTCAAATCTCACTTTTTGGTTCTGTCATCTTTTTTCTGTTCTTATAGTTATTTTGGTTCTTATCGTCGTCACATCCCTGTTCCGCTCTGATCTGATGAAGACTTTGCTTGTGACCATGCTGTAGTATCATATAAGCTCTTCTCATTTCTTGTCCATTCCCACCCTCAATTTACTGATCTTAAGTTTCTAGGTCAGTAAAAATCTAATTCTCCTCAAAGTCTGAGCCTCCTGAGTTTAATAACACACGGCCATTCTAATATTGCTAAAGACCCAATAATTTTTAAACATAATGCTTTTAGTTGGTTTTGTCAATTCAGAAAATTATCACTTACTGATTTTTCCTTCCCCTACGTATTTGTTTTGAATGGCAGCGAGAGATGACAGAGATCTCTCGTCCATTGTCTCACTCCTGTGATGCCTGCTATAGCTGCCGTGGGGTGAGAACAAAGCAGGGAACTGAGAACTTGTTCTGGGTCTCTCACATGTATGGCGGGGACCTAAGGACTGCACTGTTGCCTGCTGCGTCCTGGGGTGCCCATCAGCAGGACTCAGTCTGTACCCTGCAAGGGGATGGAGGTTGCCCAATGACATTTGAATCATGGCACCCAAAGCCTGCTCCTGAAATTTCCTTGCTTTTATATGAGGTCCAGAGTAAGTTAGAGATTGGATCACTGGAGTTTACTTGACATCTTAATGATTATGGGTTGGTTGTTGCTGCCTTCGAGTTGAACAGAATCCGGGGTGGTTGTGGTGTGAGTGCACAGGTCACTAGGCTTGTTGACACTGGCCGTTTTGGTGAGGCTTAGACAAGCGAGCGTAGAACCTGCAGGCTTCCCTTTCCTGTCAGGGTCACAGCCTGTTAAAGGGCACATGGACATTGATACTGCTTGGTCTAGTTTTTTTTTTTTTTTCTAAAAGAAGGTTAGTTTGGTAAGCAAATAATAATGAAGGTCTTTTTTTGCAAATCTTTCACCCAACCCCTATAAATGTGTACAGCTAGACAATGAGTGCGTACAGCTTTGAAAGTGGGTTCATTTCTTTGAATGAAGGTAGAAGTACTATTCAAACGAGTGGCAGAGTTGTAAATAGTTCCAGGGTTAATATTCAGACAAAATGCAGAGTATAAAAAGGTGAATTTTGGGCGAATATAACTGGAGAAGGACTTTTGAACCATATATTCAACAAATTCATGGAAAATGCATATTCTGAAAAAACTAGACATGAATTACAAAATATTTTGCTTAAAAACAAACCGTTTCTCATGTACTTTTTGAAGTCCCCTGGTATATATGTGACAGTTGCTTTCAGTGATGACATTGCTGTTGTTAACAATAATGATGCAAATAGTGGACCTCCTCTAAGTATGACTTTCAAAAGATTTTAGGTAAATAGAAACATGGGCAGAAGATAACTGTATTATTAAATATAATTGTCTTTCGGCATATTTTGTTATCAGGAATTAATTCAGAATGCAGAAGACGCTGGGGCCACAGAAGTTAAGTTTTTATATGATGAAACTCAGTATGGAACGGAGACGCTGTGGTCCAAGGACATGGCGCCATATCAGGGTAAGAAGCAGTCGCGCTGCCATCCCACGTGCTGTGCTTTTCCGTGGCTCACAGCACTCGCACTGCACGTCCCATCGTTTGGACTTCACTTCCTAGCGTCTTGCAGCCTACTTCTTCAGACGTTTTTCTGTGTGTGGTGGGAAGCTAGCTCTGCTTGTGCTGTTTTCAGAGAAAAAAGAATAAAAACCCTCAAGTTAAAGATCAAATAAAACACTGTATAATTTCGTAACCCCTCTTACTCTACGCAGTCAGCGTTTGTATTACCAGTGAGATGAAGGCCTGTCTTCCGCATCATACGTTGTAAGAGGCTGTGATTTTGTGTATGTTTTTCTACTTTATGGCTGTCAGTGCTGTCTGTGCTGTCTGGAAGAAAGCTTGAGGAAGAGGAGGGATGAAGGAGAGTGAACGGGAAGGCAGTGAGACAGTGGTGATGAGTGAGCTCTGTGAAGCCCTGGGTTGGAAAAGTATCCGTCACTTCAGTGCAGCTCTGATGTTAGCCGGGTGGTTGTGAAAGACTGTATGTGATGGAAACTACTTGGGGCCCAAAGTAAGAAGTACCTGACTTCAAAATTCTAGCTCATGTCTAGGAGTATTTTGTTTGTAGCATTGATTTTACCTCATTTTTAAAAAAAATATTGAAGCAAGGTTATTTGGCTGAGTTTGTGCGTATTTATGGATAAATTCTTTAAAAAGTGACATCAGGTTGAGCTAATTTAAGATAACCGTGGGCATGTGAGAGTCAGTGGTGGTGGTCTTTGATACCCTTATTTGAGAAACGTTTTCTGAGGGCCGTCATGCTCTTGCTTGTCTTCCTTCTGCATTCATGTGAATTGTTCTTTTCTCAGATCACAGTTATTTCTGCTTTTCGGATACTTGGTGTTACAGCTCGTATGATCATTACTTGAGGGAGCAATCCCTCAGAAATATAAATTCCAGGCTTGTTTATAATAAGCTGCCCTCTGGAAGTGTGCCGCAGCTCAGAACTTTCCCCTTCATTCGGAAGGAGAGTATGCACAGAGATCTGTCCGAGCAGGTGCATGCGAGGCCGGATGTGCCTCCAGCCTCTCCGAGCAGGTGGATGCGAGGCCGGATGTGCCTCCAGCCTCTCGTTTTTATCTTGGGGATTTGCTAGCTGAAGGCAGAGTAGCCTTGCCTCCCAGCCAGCCTACTGGGTTGTTTTCTTGTTTCACTTTCAGGAGTCAACATTCTTTTCATAAGGATAGTATTTTAGATTTTATTTATGTGAAAGACAGAGTTGAGAGAGACAAAGGGAGAATATTTTCCATCCCCTGGTTCATCCCCCAAATGGCTACAGCCACCAGGGCAGTGCCCTGCTGAAGCCACGACCTAAGGATTTCATGTGCGTCTCCCAAGTGGTAGCAGTGAGCAAAGTCCTTCCGCCTGTTCCTCCGCCTTCCCGAGCACATTAACAGAAATCTGCATTGGAAGTGGAGTAGCTTGGCCTTGAACCTGCACCTTAAAATGGGATACTGATTTTCTAAGTGGTGGCTTAACCACTACGTTGTAATACCTGCCCCACAAATGCAACTTTTTGAAGAAACTACTTTGGAGATAGGGTGGTGGTATTTTCAAGAACTACTGTAAACATTTATTACATTAATGCTTTAAATTGTACTGTAGTACATTTTATTGAAGAATCTAGAAGGTAACCCAAACCACAGAACTCCAAGCAGTAATATTAATAGTACTAAAGGATTGATTTTCACCTTATGAAATAATGTGTGAGTACTTCAGAAGCTTCATGGAAAATGGAATTAAATGAAGAGTGAATTTTGATGCAGAAAGTTTTAAGTCCAAACCTGTTTTTTTTTTTTTTTTAACATTCCTTATGCTTTTCTGGAAAATTCTTTTTTGTTTCAAAATCAAATTTATTAATTCTATTCTTTGTGCTTTTTGTACTCTTGTGTTAACAAGGTTTCTGTATGTAATGAGTTTCCTTAATACATTTTCACATAATTCCACATGCAAAAATAATACTTTAAATATGCCATAGGGCCTGGTGTGGTAGACTAGTGGCTGAAATCCTCACCTTGAAAATGCCAGGATCCCATATGGACACTGGTTCTAATCCCGGCAGCCCCACTTCCCATCCAGCTCCCTGCTTGTGGCCTGGGAAAGCAGTCAAGGACGGCCCAAAGCCATCCTTGAGACCCTTGGGAACCTGCACCCATATGAGAGACCAGGAAAAAGCTTTGGGCTTCTGGCTTGGGATTGGCTCAGCTCCAGCCCTTGCAACCACTTGGGGAGTGAATCATCGGATGGAAGATCTCCCTCTCTGTCTCTCCTCCTCTCTGTATATCTGACTTTGCAATAAATAAATAAATCTTTAAAAAAGCATGCCATGGTTTTCGTGATGGTAGGATGCTGTGATTGCCCCCCTTGTGTAGTCTGTGTTTGGGTGTTTTCAGTACCACAGTTCCATTGCTTCCTCCCTTTCTGGATTTCTGGCCAACAGTATGTGCTTGCCTCAATGGTTGTCCTTACCTTTAACTCCTGCTTACATTTTTCTGTGAGCATAATTGGAATGACAGTGCAGAATGCTGTTCCTGCATTCCCTTCTCTCCCTTGTCCCATCAAGTAAGTGATTGTGTGCAGAGACATCTCTTGGAAGAGACTGAATCCTGGGCCTTGCTCTCACCACCCAGGGCCAGCGCTCTACGTGTACAATAATGCGGTCTTCACTCCCGAGGACTGGCATGGTATTCAAGAAATAGCGAGGAGCAGGAAAAAGGATGACCCTCTGAAGGTTGGAAGATTTGGAATTGGGTTTAACTCTGTCTACCACATAACAGGTATGATATTTGGCCTTTCATTCTTACTAGTGGAAAATATTTTGACTTATAACCTGTAATATATTTGGTTAGTGTAAGATGTCATTGTTGTTTTATAAGCATCTTGCCAAAATTCTATTGGTGCCAAAAAGTCTGTAAGTGAAATATCAGTGAAGTCTTGAATTTTCTATAATTTCTAATGCAAACCAGCCCAAGTTTTAGCTCATTGACTGGTACTGAAAGTTAAAGTTTAATACCCATGTACCAGTAAAGTCAGTATAATATAGCACTATTGTATGTGAGATTTGAAATATCCAAAATTAATATTCTGAAAATTTTTTATGTTGGGAATTTTCAGGCAAATTGATTATCACAGATTTTCATCTATGAGGTTATTTCTAAATGTTTGTGCAAAGTGAAATTATGCTAAGTTTGACGCAAAATATTTTGAAATCCTTTCCTACTATACATAGTTCTAAATTTAAGAAGGTCTTTTCTCTCTTCTCTAATGGAATTCCATGAGAAAATGAAGGTTGTTGCAAGTGGTTCTGGTATCTACCTTTTTATGCCATATTCTTTTTATTTTCTAGAATTTGTAAGTATTTTAAAAATTACTTTAAGATTGCATTTTAATTTTAATGCATATAAAGTCTCTGGCTTGCAATTATGTGTGGAATATTTGAAAGGTTTAAGTAGATGAAAGAACTTTTGGCTGTTCTACCGGAATCAGAGCTCTCAGGTCATACAATATATACAGTTTGTCATAAAGATTCTTTTCTGGAGTTGGTGGCATTATGGCTTGATTTCAAGGGAAGACCGAGCAGGCAGGGCCAGCACTAGGGCTGGGTTGACCATTGTATTTATCATCGTTAGTGTATTTACCATTTGGTGGACGTATTCTCAGACCACTGGCCTAAGTTGAGACTTTCCTGGGCAAGGGGGAAATAGGGTTGTTTTAACTCAAAGACAAGTTTTCTTAAGCCTGTTTCATTTGCTTTAATATTCATTATTAAAGAATGTTGAGCATGTTATATAGTACATAATAAAAGTGTTGGATTATTTTTTTGAATTATGAGCTGAAAATAATAGTGATTATACATTAATATTAACACATGTTCGCCTATTTGCTTGTTATTTTGTGAGTCTGTGATAAGTAGCGGTTAGTTCATGTTGGGCAAAGTGTACATGTGACTTGCACAAGTGAGGAGACACGGCTGTGCAGGTGTGAGCCATGTAGGTAGGGTGCAGTGTCAGTACTGCAGTGTGGTTTTGTCTCTAGTTGAGAAGGAGCGCTTTAGTGGACGGTGTTAACCGGAGGCCTGTTCTCTAACCGGAGGATTTGCTGTCAGTGTCAGGAGTCTGCCTGGCCTGATTGCAGTCTTGGGGGGGTGTGGCACTGTGGAACAGGAACAGCCATGCTTCAGTTGTACCTTTGCTGGATTTTCCTAGGAAATTGGTGGGTGAAACAATTGCTGTGTAAAATATCCTAGAGCTTAAGAGGGTGTGGTCGCACCAGCCTGCACTTGATATGCAGAGATGCTAATGGGGACTTCCCCGAAACTGTGCCTTACATGGAGGTTGGGTGCTAGAGTCAGTGTGTGAGACAAAACATACGTCCTAGTCAGCCCCTTGAAAAGTCCTCGGGAGTGCCGGGGGTCGGCTGTCAGTACAGTGGGTTCAGTACAGCTAGCTTTTCTGCTAGTGTTGAAAAATCAGACTTGGGCTGAGAGATAGGTGAAGTCGTTGATGTAAATGTAGGGTTGTGTTGTAAGTACTGCAGTTAGGCTCAACGCTGTGACACGCTCCCAGCATAAGAAGGACTTCCGCTTTGCGAGGCATTGGGGTCAGGACCAACATGGCAGCTCCCGTCACACTCAGGGCACGAGCTTGCTGGGTGATGGGGTGGCGGGGCGCAGAATTGCCGTGTGTCATTCGCCTTCTACTCTTCCTCAGAGTTTGTAGTTGAATTTTTAATTGTGAGCCACTCTGTTGTCTTTCATTGGGTTCACGTGCAGTGAGGCTGTGGGCTGTCTAAATCCTCTTTTCGTTTTCTGCTCGTGGGTATTTGAAGATGCATGCAAGGTTTTCACAAGAATCATGAAAAGCCCATGCCTGGCATGCATTATCAGGTTAAATCAAAATAAAAAAGAATTCATTTTGATGTTCAAAGAACTAAACTCCAAAGCTAAATTAGTTTTCTTCAAGCCTTTTCAAGGCTTATACTTTATCCTATATAATCTTTTGATGTGGTGACACTATTCATTATAATAGTCCATTGCATTTCGGAGTTGGTCATGAGCATGTTTCTTTTCAGATGTTCCTTGTATCTTCAGTGGTGACCAGATTGGGATGTTAGATCCTCATCAGACACTGTTTGGCCCCCAGGAATCAGGCCAGTGTTGGAACCTCAAAGATGACAGCAAAGAAATTAGCGAACTTTCAGATCAGTTCGCACCATTTATCGGCATTTTTGGAAGCACCAAGGACACATTTATAAATGGCAGTTTTCCAGGAACGTTTTTCCGTTTCCCTCTCCGCTTAGAGCCCTCACAGCTCAGCGGGAACCTCTACAACAAGCAGAAGGTTCTGGAGTTGTTTGACTCGTTTAAGGCGGATGCAGACACAGTGCTGCTCTTTCTAAAAAGCGTGCAAGATGTCTCCTTGTATGTCCGAGAGGCCGACGGGACAGAGAAGCTGGTGTTTCGAGTGACTGCAAGTGAGAATAAGGCCCTGAAGCATGAACGACCACACTCTATCAAGATTCTGGAAAGTGCCATAAGTAACTATTGTAAAAAGATTCCAAGCAATAGCGTCACTTGTGTAACGTATCATATCAACATAGTGTTAGAGGATGAGAGCGCCGAGGATGCACGGAACACTTCCTGGTTGGTGTGTAACAGTGTGGGTGGCCGAGGGATCAGTAGCAAACTTGACTCTTTAGCAGATGAACTGAAATTTGTCCCAATCATTGGTATAGCCGTGTCACTAGCCAGCACAGATGACGAGGACAAAGGAGCCGCGTCGGGGTTCTCAGGAAAAGCATTTTGTTTTCTTCCCTTGCCCCCTGGCGAGGAAAGCAGGACTGGACTCCCCGTTCACATCAGTGGCTTCTTTGGCCTGACTGACAACCGGAGGAGCATCAAGTGGAGAGAGCTGGACCAGTGGAGGGATCCCGCCGCCCTGTGGAATGAGCTGCTTGTTGTAAATGTTGTCCCCAAAGCTTATGCCACACTCATCTTAGATTCCATCAAGCGACTGGAGACGGAAAAGAGTTCTGATTTCCCCTTGTCTGTTGGTACCATCTACAAGCTGTGGCCGGAGGCAAGCAAGATCAAGGTCCACTGGCAGCCCGTGCTGGGCCCTCTGTTCAGTGAGCTCTTCCAGAACGCTGTCATCTACACCATCAGCCACGAGTGGGTCAAGTTGGAGCAGGTGTACTTCTCAGAACTTGATGACAGTTTGGAATACACGAAAGCTGTGCTCAACTACCTCCAGAGCTCAGGGAAGCACATTGCCAAGGTGCCAGCCAACCTGCTTGCTGCCGTGGAGCTCGCAGCCGGCCCCGGAGTGACGCCCGCGAGGAAGGTGACACCCGCCTGGGTGCGGCAGGTGCTGCGGAAGGCTGCGCACGTGGGCAGTGCCGAAGACAAGCTCCGCCTTCTCGAGTTTGTGCTTTCTGACCAGGCCTACAGTGAACTGCTGGGGCTGGAGCTGCTACCATTACAAAATGGAAATTTCGTCCCCTTTTCCTCTTCCGTATCTGATCAAGATGTTATTTATATTACCTCAGAAGAATTCCCAAGGTAGATGACATTTCTGAAATGTTTGTTAACCCTGGGGCTCGCTGCCCCTGCTCACGTTTAGATCTGTTTGTTGTGAATTTGTCAGTTATCCAAAAGATTTTTGCAGAAATATCTTGTAAAATGCTCAAGGATGTGTTTCATAGTTTTATTTATGAGGTAGAGAGAGGGAACGAGTGAGTACCCCTCTACTTTTACAGTCCTTAAAGTGCCTGTAAAAGCAGGGGCTGAGTCTGGGGCCAAAGGCAGGTGCTGGAAACTCAGACTGCCCTTCCGCTTAGGGAGTGGGCATCGTTGACGGAGCCGTGTCTGCTGAAGCGAGGCCAGGTGCTGAAGCGAGAGCCAGGGAGCCTCCTTGTACTGCCGTGTGGGCTGCAGGCATCCTGGCTGCATGTGAACCCCTGGGCTCGGTGCTCACCCCTGAAGAGGAAAAGCACTGAAAACTTTATAAGTTAAAAAGTTATCTCTACGGAATGTTTTTTTTTTTTCCTTTGGAAATTTCAATAGCAGGCCTTGGAAATAGTGATCATAAAATGCTAATGATTAATTAGGTGAGAATATTTACTAATAAATTATTTTGATGAAATTTAATTTCAGTGTGTGGCACTTTTATAACTGAGAGTGCGTGCTGGCATTCAAGGAGCTAAAATGCATTGTATTCCTTGATGCTAAGAGTGTTTCTGAATCTGTGTGGTTCCTGATGTGCTCGTGTTTAAAGCAAAATCCAGAGAATATTTAGTCAGGAAGTATTTTCATTTGATGCGTATATGATCACTCAGGTAAAATCAAATAGCAGGTTATTTTATTGACCCTCTGGCTTGAAAATTGTTGATCTTTCTTAAACGTTGGAACATTTGGAAGATTATGGTGATTCTATGTGACTTTCACTCTTTAGGCCCCTTTTCCCAGGTCTGGAAGGAAGACTTCTTCTGCAGAACTTGAAGCCTCATCTGCTAGCTGCTCTGAAGGAAGCTGCCCAGACCCGAGGTAGTATGGTTGTTTGGAATATTTTTAAAAAGATCTCTTTGTAAGAAGATAAAGGTTTTAAAAGTTTTTTTGTTGTTGGTGTTATTTTATTCCTGTAAATCAATAGTTTTGTGTGATTCAGCCTGATGCAGTTATATCTTTTAAGATGTCAGAAGCTTTTGTAGCATCTGGAAGAGTCTGGGGATGGCTGTATTTAAAGGGGTGTCCTGTCTTGGCTCTTGGCCTGAGGTGTGACATCTTCCACTCTTGGTGCTTGGTTCCAGTGCCTTCCCACAACATCTGTCTTGGGCCTCCCATTTTCCTCTCTTGCAGCCTGGGTAGGAATGCAGACGGTAATTGTGAGGTAGCACAGAGGAGAGAACGGTTAAGTGCAGGGTCACCAGCTGGGTGCCTTGAGGTGAAGTCTTCTGCTTTGGTCCTTGCTGCCTTTAAGTTAGCTGTGATTGAGTGGGAAGTCGGAACAGCTCACGTTAATTCCGTAGCAGTGTTAGGGAAGCTGCGGGTGTCCGTTTTTGAGAATTCTTATCAGGAAAAGACAGTAGCTTGGGGAGATAGTCACATGCTCGGACTGGAATACTGGCTTCCAGCGTTTGCAGGCACTGTCCCTGTAAAACTGTTGCTTGCCTTTTTTCTCAGTTAGAAACTGGCCTGAAAAATGGTCGGTTTGTCTCACTGCTTCCATCGCAAACTGTGCTCCCTGTGATAACACCTGTTGTAGTGTGTGCTCCTTTTAAAGGAAGGGAAAAGTTGTGAATAATTCTACGTCTTTACTGTCTCAGTACAAGTGGAAGGAATTGGAATGGGGCAGTCACATTAGCTTGGAATTAAAGTGAGACTAAGAGAAAGTGAGTGTAAGCATGCGTTACCGAATGGAGTCTGTTTCTGTGAGTTAGTCACAGTGAGACTGAGTTTACTAAAACCTAGCTCACATACTTAATTTTGAATTATTCTTTTCAAAATGCCTTTTTGGGAATGTAAACATAGATTTCCATTCCCTGTGCCAATGTTTTTGAACCCTTTGCCTTTTAAAAACATCGATTGTTATATTCTTAAGAACTTTGCATGGCAAGACACAGTCCATACAGAAAAGTGCTTGTATCATAAATGTGGGCTTAGCTAAATCACGGACAGAACCCTGCAGCTAGATGACCAGCACTGGCGCCGGAGCCCCTCTGACCTCTTCTAGGCCCACCCTCACAAGGAACTGTCATTTTGTCTTTTAACAGTAGAGGTAAACTCATTGTACCTTCTGAAAAGCCGTCACAGAATATGTAATCTTTGTGTGTGGCTTCTATTTTATTTACTTGTGTTGTTTTATCAGTGAAATTTGACAAGATACATGTGGCTGTGGACGATTCTTTTCAATTATTTCATCATGTGCTGTATTACTGTCTTTTGAAGAGAATTTTTTTTTTGATGGCGATAGTTTCTGCGGTGGATATGGAATTGGAAATTAGTGTAAAGTGACTCAGAGTCAAATCAAATGAAAAAGTAGGAGACCAGCAGGTAGCCTGCTTCACTCCGAGTGCCTAGAGCGCCTGAAGCATGGTGGGTAGCCAGGCCGCCCTTCCCCTCAGCCTGGATGAGAGTAGGTATGAATCCAGTGCTGTATTTCTAGAGGGGAGTTAAATTTGTAATTAATTTACAATTGGACCTTGTAACAAAGTTGAGTCTTTATGTCTTCAATTTCTTCTGTACTGTGGCATCCAGTTTGCTATTTTAAGGTCATACAATAAACACCATGCTTTGTTGCTGGTTCTTGGTTAATTTCTTTTGTACTATTAGCGGCTGTTGCTTGTCTAATGCTTATTTGTCACCCGTAATAGCTGCCCCACTCTTGCCAGAAGTTGTCTTCAGGTTCATTTTCTTTATCTGATTTGAATATTGGATCACTCTCTTGGAAGGGTTTAGCAACCACCATCTGTAGACATTGCAGTGTTGCTAACTGGTCTTAACATTTACAGATACTTTTTCCTGGACATCTTCCAAGCTATTTTTATTTCAGACAAAAATTAGGTTTTTTTTTTATTTCATTGGTTTTTCAGCTCTAACCTTGTTGATCCTCACCCCCCTTTTTTTAAAATAATTTGTCTCTGCTGAATCTCTGACTCACATCATGAATTATTTTCCTCATCTCTTCAAGTTCCAACGAATTATTGTGTGCCCTTCGGTGGTGCCAGACTGCCTTCTTCCTTGTAGTTCTGGGTCTTTGTGTCAGGTGTGTAACAGTGGCTTCTTCCAGTACGATGGGGTAGCTGTTCTTCTGGAAAAACCTTTTTGCTGTGGGCAAGCTGTGGGATGTCAGGTGATGGTGCTTTGCTGTTGGGTCGAGGTGAGCTCGGAGGCCTAGGTGACTTCTCTGGGTCGGTCAGCATCGGTGGTACCCTAAAGTGTGGCAGGTGTGTTGTTAGAAGCCGGACCTGAGGTTAGTGGTGTGACTGTGCTGGTGGGCGTGGACACCTGGAGGTGTGTCCTCAGGTCCTACAAAATCAAATATCAATAGCACCGTGCTGCATGAATCTGCCTGAAACATCTGTTTTTGATATGAACAATGTTAGTGTTTGAGGCATTTCATAATGTAGGAATTTTGGAGGTCCCCAAGCTGAGATCGGAGCTAGCGAAGAGGTCAGCAGAGGCACGGTGCAGGTGGCTATTAGCGACACTGCCGTTGGTACTGGTGAGGCTGACGGCTGGTGGAAGGCGGTGGACTCCGGCCAAACTCCACGATGAAGAGGGTTTCACGCATCGTGCAGAGGCACCCTCGGGAGCAGCAGGCCTCTGTGAGTCTGCCCTGCCAGTGTCAGGCGGGAAGATTCCCAGCAGTGACTAAGCTGGTGACTCCTTCCACTTGCTGAGGTCTGGGGAGACGGTGGGCCAGGAACGCCACATCCTTGTGTGGTGGGAAGCACCACAGTTGTGGACCAGCATTTGCTGTTTCTTACTGTCAGCGGTAGCTGTGCTACTGAGTTGCTGGCACAGAGCACCTGGACTCCTGTTTCCTAATGGGCAGAAGACGGAAAAGTACTTAGAAAATGAGTACTTTGAAGTACCCTGAATAAAATTGAATTGTGATTTTTTTTCTAAAGATTTATTTATTTTATTGCAAAGTGAGATACACAGAGAGGAGGAGAGACAGAGAGGAAGGTCTTCCTTTGATGATTCACTCCCCAAGTGAGTGCAATGGCCGCTACTGTGCCAGTCTGGAGCCAGGAGCCAGGAACTTCCTCCAGGTCTCCCACGCGGGTGCAGGGCCCCAAGGCTTTGGGCCGTCCTCAACTGCTCTCCCAGGCCACAAGCAGGGAGCTGGATAGGAAGTGGGGCTGCCAGGATTAGAAGTGGCGCCCATATGGGATCCTGGCAGGTTCTAGGCGAGGACTTTAGCCGCTAGGCCTCACCACTGGGCCCCTGAAATGTGGATTTTTCCCTTCTGATTCTATAGCAAAATCTGTTTTCCTATTTGATAATCTTACTTTTATTGTATCGATTTAAATTTCTAAATCAAATATTAAATTATTGCTTCTATTCACTATGTACTTTTTTTTTTTTTTTAAATTTGAGAGGCAGAGAGAGCAAGTGAGCAAGTGCCTGTCAGTTGGTCCACTTTCAGATGCTTGCGGTGGTCAGGGCTGGGTCAGGGCTAAAATCAGGACGCAGCTCCCCTGGGTGCTGGGACCCAGTCTGTTGTGCCAGCATCGCTGTTTTCCAGGTTGCTCGTTAGTGGGAAGGTAGAGTCAGGAGCCGGAACTGGGGATGATAGAATCCAGAGCCTGGCATGCGGGGTGGAGTCTTCCCAGCACTCCTGTCCCGAGTACCCGCTGCTCCGGGGCGTGCTGGCAGCTCCTTTTTCTCTAGCGGTGAATTGTGTCGAAGTGTTTCCCCTTTGAAGCCAAACCTTGCCGTTGGTTTCATTTCCTGTAATCTAGCATAGTCAGGCTTATAGAAGGGTGATCTTACTGTCTGATTTCCTTGCCATTCATTGTCATGTTGCGTTCCACAGAAACTGGCTGAACTGCGTGGCGTTAAATCGATTGGACATTTTTATTTCTCTTCCCTGTGTTCCCTGAAGCTGCCATCCTGCTCATCACTCCCTTTTGGGACCCTCGGCTTGGATGGCGCCCCCTGGTGTCCTGCTTGTTTGTCTTCTTGAAGTGCTCATATGAATCCCTGTTTCTCAGTTCATCCCCTGCACAAGGTTGGCTTGGGGGCTGCTCCTTTGGCTCTTGTGTTTGTTCCTTAGTGGGTTCAAGTAACTCCGTGTGTGTGTGCATGACTCCTCCATTGTTAGTTGCTGTCCCGGGTTCACAAGGGGGGTATACTGCACAGTGAGTAGAAACCTGGTCTCTGTAGTCATACAAATGTGGGCTCAAAGTTTTCTCTGTACTTACTGTGTAACTGTGAACAAATGACCCACCTGTGCCAGCCCCTGTTTCCTTGTCAGCAGCACAGTAATACAGTGACATGCTGCTACAGGGGGCTGCCTGAGCTCCCCGGGACTCAGTTACCTGTAGCAGGATTGCTTTATTGCAGGGTAATGAGATGAAGGCTGGCTGGAAGATGACGGCAGTCACAAGTTACCGCTTGCGTCTCGGCACATGAGCTTTATTGCAGAGGCAGGCCATGGGGAAGTCTTACTGTAATATATCTGCAGTATTTGTCTGAGGATCAAAGGATGTAAACATTGTACACACTCACAGCACCTGGAGTATACTAAATAAATACTGACAGATAGCAATTTTCATGATCAGTTGGCATTCAGCATTCTGTGGTTTTCAAATCCACATTGTGAAAACTTCTTGCTCCAAAGCTGTTCCTCCTTTTGAGTGTCCTTATTGCTGATGACGCTGCTGTCCACAGAGTTGTTCAAAAGTGAATCCTGAGTTTATTGCTTTTGTTTCCTAGTGTCCAGGTTCTGCTGATCAGCCCCTTGAAACTGTTTGTATCAGTCCCTTTGTCTCTGCTGTAATCCAGGCCTTTACTTTGATGGGACTTGTTTCTTTTAT